GGCCCCAGCCCAGCCGGGGGCCACCAGCACTGTCCCCATCCTTGCCCCCAGGGGCTGTCCCAGCTCCCCGCTGGCCTTGCGCCACGGCAATGGGCTTGGCCCGCTGCTGGCCCCATGGCATCCCTCTGCCCCTGGCCGGGATGCAGTACAAGTCGTCATCTTCAGAGCAGGATGTGTCGCGGAAGGAGCAGGAGTTATTTACCGACTTCACTCGCAGGCAAGAAGCAGCAATATGTTTATTTATATGAAACAGTGAGTTAACAAAGTTCAATGGTTAACGTGGCAATGATTTAACAGGATTCGATGGCGAGGTGCCCTTGATTATTTGCTGCATAGAGGACAGGGTCAGACAGAACTGGCAGGGAGACCCTCCTGCTGGGTCACGAGGTTCGGAAAGGACCCCCCTGCTCCCTAAACTCCTTCTCAGAGAGGAGCCCAGGTGCAGCTGGATCCAGTCCTAGTCCCAGGCTTGGTCAACAATTGATGTCTAAAGGATTATATACATACAACCAATCCTTTACAGCACTTAGGTGAGATCTCATGCTGTTAGTCACTCACCGAGAATCTGCTGCGGCAAGGACTCATAGGGTCATCACAGAAGGGTTTGGGCTGGAAGGGACCTTAAAGCCCATCCAGTGCCACCCCCTGCCATGGGCAGGGACACCTCCCACCAGCCCAGGCTGCTCAAAGCCTCATCCAGCCTGGCCTTGAACCCCTCCAGGGATGGGGCATCCACAGCTCCTCTGGGCAACCTGGGCCACTGCCTCACCCCCCGCACAGGAAAAACTTCCTCTTAATATCCAATCTAAATCTCCCTTTTCAGCTTAAAACCATTCCTCTTTCTCCTGTCCCTGCACCCCCTGATCCAGAGCCCCCCCATCTCTCCTGTAGCCCCCTTTCAGCACTGGAAGGTGCTGGAAGGTCTCCCCGGAGCCTTCTCTTCTCCAGGCTGAACACCCCCAGCTCTCTCAGCCTGGAGGAGTACGCTCCAGAGGCGTCCCTGCCTAAGTGAGAGCCTGGGGTGCAGCCATTGCGGTGCAGGAGAGCTCAGCAGGCCCTGGGCTGGTCACTAATTATGAAGTGAGATGATTGACTTACAGTCACATTTGCATATGGGCCGTGTTTTGCTGTGAGCTCAGCGAGCCCTCAGCTGTTGAGCAAGATGTGCAAGCCAGCCCTTGGCTGCTGTGCTGCAGCCACTGCGACCAGACGCACCCATTACGGCCACCACTCCTGGTTATTGCTCGAGCAGGGTTGTGGGGGATAAAGGGCAGGTTTGGGGGGAGCACACCGTCACACCCCTCCTGCTGTACCCCACCCAGGGGTCCCCTTTCTTCCCCACACGCTCAGGCACAGGGTGCTCAGCTGGGATTAATTCCCCCAAACAGGGTTATTTGCTAATTTTATTCAGGGCTCGAGAGGGGATGCTGCCCCCTACCCGAAAAGGCTCCCACGATAAACATCCTTAGCTGGGCTCACCCCTTGAGACCCCCATGGGCCTGGTGGGTGGGAGAAGGAGCCCTGGCCCCCCCTGCAACTCTGAGCCTAGCCCAGGCACCTTCTCTCTGCCTGCACGAACAGACATTGATGCAAATCTAGTCCAGTTTTATTACAGCCACAACATTTACACATCACAGGCTACACAGCAACGCTGCAGGGGAGAGCCTCAGTGCAGCCCCACAGCACAGGGCTGGGGGGGAAACGTGCTGCCCAGCCCAGAGCAAAAAGTTGCCAGCTTGGGGAGGCAAGCTCAGGGAAGGCAGCAGCCAGCAGGGCAGGCTTCCCAAAGCTGCAGAAGGTACATCAGTACTTGGGCCGCTTCACCTCAACCCTGGAAGAGACAGAGGGGCAGGACGGTGCTGAGGATGCAGGACAGACAGCTCTGTCCCACTCCCATCCAGAGCTCAGCACCAGGGTCCACAGTTTCACCCCACAGAGCAGTGACGGAAGGGCAACAGCTCCTCAGGGCACCCAGGTGGATGGGGCAGAACTGGCTGGTCAAGGAAGAGCACCAACACGGCCCTGGGGTGTGCCCAGGGGAGAGGGGCTGTGCGGGGGCTGCTGTGCAGGGCAGGAGCACCCTGAGGGGACCAGTGTTCTCATTCTCCTCCCAGCCCCGCTGCCGAGAGCCCCCAGGGAGGTCTCTGTCCCTTGCAGCCCCTCAGAGAGGTGGCAGGAGACAGCCAGGCCCCAGCATCGCCCCATGGCTGAGCCCAGAGCAGAAACAACTTTACTAACCCGTCAGCCTCCAACTTCTTCCTCTTCTCGATGATCTGCAGAGAAAGCACAAAGCCCCATTACCCCCAGGGCAGCTGGCTGCAGAAGGGCTGCAGGGTGCAAGAGGGACCCGGGGAGAGCTGTAGCCAGGCCAGAGCAAGCAGAGGTGAGCTAAAGCTGTCCGCAAGCCGTCTGAAGTCTGGAGAAGCTTGGCCTGTTCCCCCCTTGCTCCCTTTTCGCGATCACAGGCCATCTGTTCTCACCTTCCCCTAGCCCATCCCATACTGTTGGGGTGCTCGTGGCCAGCTCACCCTGTCAGGATAACCCCCAGCTTTGCCGGTTAGGAAACAAGGAGCTACTAAACCTGCCTGGTCCCCTCCGAGCCCCCTTGGATGGCTCAGAGCTGCTGGGTTTGGACACACTCAGCTGCTGCAGAGCCTGGAGCAAAAAGCCCCTGATCAGAATCACTGCCAGGGCAACAGCTCCAAATGCACCTCGAGATTTCTCTGCAGTCCTGTCCTGAAGCCCCAAATATTTGGCTGATGCTCTCATAAGGAGCAGACCCAGTGTCCAGAGAGCCAGCTCTGCAGCACATGCACACTGGTAGCACCTGGTTGCAAGGGCATGGGCTGGACCAGGACAGGAAGGGCAGGACTAAGTGGGAGCTCCCCTGGTCTACGCTGGCAGCTTGCGGTCTAAACAGATGACATCCCAGCACCGGGCACTCACCGCACTGATCTTCTTCCACTGCCGGTCCAGCTCTGCCTTGTCATTTGTCTCCTTGAAGCGACGGGTTTTGCGTCCCTCAGACATCTTGATCCCATACTGGAAGGCCGCCCTGGGGAAGGAGTGAGACAGAGCTCAGCTCTCACAGGGGATCCACGGCCTGCTGGGGGAATGGTCACATCTGCCCCAGCCACGAGCCCATGCCCCAGAACCCGCCTGGGCCTCTGAAAGCAGCAGCTGGGCAGGAGTCCTCAAGAGCGACACCAAGTGCAAAGACAAGTCACCAAGCCCAGGATCCACAGGGGATCCATCCAGGGGAACACCCTTCTCAGTTTAAGCTCTCCCGGCACCCGGGTTTGGCTGGCATTGCCACCCCCACCCCAAATCCTGGCTCAGCCCTTCCCAAGGGCTGCACTCACTTGGGAAGAGCCTCTTTGTTGTTCATGTATTCGCTGTACTCCTCCTGGGTGTCAAAGTCCCAGCGCCCCAGAGGTCCCTTCTTGTTACCCTGCAGCAAAAAGAACGACTCGAAGCAGCTTCTTAGGCGATGCTGGCCAGCGCTTCTCACGCAGCTGCTCCTGCCCAGGCAGGATCTCAATCTCCCACTCGCCCCAGTTCAGCGGGGTTGTGCACCCAGTCTGGCCATGGCTCCGAGATCCCCTTCCCGAGAAGCCCCAGACAGGAGATTCCGTGGAAAAGGGAGTCGACAGACTAGCACGCCTCCCCACCACGATCAAGGGGCAGACTCACATGTTTGCTCCCTGGGATGACAGATCCTGTCCAGCCCCAGGCACACAGCACATCAGCCAACCCCAGAACACACCCCACACCCAGCTCCAGGGCGCTCCACCCTTCTGCACCATCTGCTTCTCTCCAGGGGGATCCTCCCAGCCTGCGCTGATGGCCAAAAGATGGTGAGAGCATACCTGATCCATTTTGCTGTAGTCCACCTCTTCATCGCTGTCCACAGCCATATCATCCATTCTGTAAAGAGAAACAAAGCAAGGGAAGGGTTTGGAGTAGGTCCACGGGACACGGATCAGGACCTTGGAGCCAGGCTGCTGGGAGCCATCTCTTGTGGCCTCAGACTGAATGTAATCGGTTCTTGGACCACAAAGAAGTTCCTCCAACCACAGGTGAGCTGTACCACAAGGGTGTTCAAGACCGCAAACGCTCCTAAGATGACTCTGCAGGCTGAAGGCTGTCCCTCTTCTGCTGAGGGCCCGCTCCACAGCCAGAGCTCAACGAGCACAGGAATTACCAGGGAACCCAGCAGACTCCCAGCCACCTCGGCCCCTCTGGCATCGAGGAGCAGCAGACTCCGAGGAGCTACTTCTAGCAGAGCGCAGCTAAGGGAAGGATGGCTCTGCCAGAACCAAGGAGTCAGGGAGCATTTTAACAGGAGGTTACAGCCCCAATTCCAGGCCTGCTCCTCCCAACAAGCAGCGGGGCTGATGTTCACATTCTTGCTGACAGAGAACAGCAGAACCTCAGCACACCCTGCTCCCAACCCGCAGCTTCTTGCCGCTTCCTTACGTAGCGGGGTAGCACTCGGCGTAGCTGTTTGACATGCCGAAGAAGTCCCCCAGCTGCTTCTTGTCTTCTGGCTTCTTCAAAGTGACAACGGTCAAGGAAAGCAATGCCATGGAGCCTTACAGCTAAGGGCTGAGCACAGCCCTGCCCTAACACAACCGAAACAGAGGCTGCAGAGCTTCTGTTTGGGGTACGAAAAGCAAGGTTTGGGTGGCATTTCTCTGCTACAGGAGGAAGAGCCCTCCCAAGAGAGGAAGGCCAGGCACACAGCCATACTCGGGCAAGGCCTGCTTTCAAGGGAAGCCCGGCCCTGCGGTCAGCTAGGCCGGCACAGCCAGTAAAGGATATGTCTCTGCTCCTTCCCAGCCAGCTGATCCAGCGAACTTCTCATTGATGGACTTGATGAGCTCCTTGGCTGAGCCGGGTCCTGGGGCAAAGAGAGCAGCAGGGTGAGTTTTGGGGCAGGAGCAGCTCACTGCAACACATGTGGTGCTGGGCAGAGCCGCCTTCTGCACACCCAGTTCACTGGGACGGGTAACAGGCAGAAGCACAGGGTACAGATGAAGGAGAAGAGGAGCCAGGAGAACACTGAGGAACAGCAAACCAGTTCAAGCCCAAGTACAGGCAGGGGCAGGCTGATCCTAGGAGACTGAATCCTCCTCAGCTTACGGCCAGTATAAGGTTATTTGAGCTGGTCTGCTGCCAGGGAGGGATCTGCACACACACTCAGCCCGGGCTGACACGCAGCCGCCTGTAGGCACAAGACTCTTCACCCCAAAAACCTCACGGCAGGCAATTCTCTCTGACATAGCAGTCTGGGAGAGCAGGGAGCTCAGGCAGGCCAGCGAGCCAAGCAGTTCTGCAGTGTGCAACCCCGTATGGCCTTGTTCAAACATCCAGCCTCATTCCGACGTCCACACCGCCCGACTCACCTTTGTCGATGTCTGTGGGCTGCAAAGAAGAGGGAGAGATACTGTGTCACCCAGGAGGGCTGAAAGCAGGCAAGTGACAGTGCTGCATGACTTGCAGCTACACTTTAAAACTGTTTGTGGCAAGCACAGAGCTGAACCAGAAAAGCTACTGGTTTGTGCTAGTCCTGCCTTACTCACTGAAGGAGACGACAAGCACCCAGCCACCCACCAGCCCCTGGCTGGAGAGACAGAGCTCAGCAAAAGCTGAACGCTGGCACGTGTGGGAGCACAACCAGAGACACCCAAAGCCACCCACCCCCCAAAGCTGCACTCCCCTAAAGGCAGAGATCAAGCAGGACAGTCCAGGCTTCCTGAGCAGAGGCTCACCTCATCGTCAGCCTTGGGCTTCTCAAAGTAGCTGTGCCTCTTCTTTTCCTCCTCCCGCTCACGGTCACGCTCCCTGTCCCTCTCGCGTTCCCGGTCCCTGTCCCGCTCCCGGTCCCTGTCCCGGTCGCGCTCTCTCTCACGGTACCTCTCCCGCTCCTTCTCCCGTGGCATCTTTGCAGTGGAGGGTACGTAATCCCCAATGTCTTCAAAGATGCTGGAAGTGGAAAAAGCCTGCAGTTAGGGGAGGTCACAGCCACCTCCCTGTGAACTGGAACCTAACAAAGCAGCATGCAGCACCAACACCGAGAGCTGAGGATGCCCACTAGAACTGGCTTCTACATCTGTCAGAGGTACCACCACACTTCTGCTCTCTTCTGCTGCCTGGACCTGCTTCTGGTAAACCAGGACAACAGACAGCCCTTGCCTACCTCAAGCCTGAAATTAAAAAAAAACAGAGCTTGCCTCCAGCCGTGTCCTACAAACCGCAGGTCCAAAGAGGCAGCTCGCTCCAGAAGTGCTAAACCCAGCCTGCTCCAAACGCAGTGGGACAAAAAGGACACTCCTCAAAGCAGGGAGCTGTGACCCCACAGCCTGTGGGCAGGGAGGCACTTACTTCATATCAGCTTCAGGGGGTTTCTTCTCATCCAGCTTCCCTGGAAGGACACAAGAGCAGCGAGAGACACATCATCCACTCCGCCACCTGCACTGTTTCCCTGTCCCCAGTCTGGCTCCTAAGCCCCAAAAGGGTGTTCTCCCAAATTCCTCTTCAGTTACCATATCAAATCTAGCTCCTTCAGGAAGCCACTATGTCCCACCCCAACAGGGGACATTTGCCCAGGGAACTGGGCCTTAACCAGGAAGAGCAGAGCCACCCTGGCAGCTGTAATTTCTCAGCAGCCATTCCCCTGTGGTCCTGCCACAGAACAGCCTGCCTTCAGGATGCAGTGCTCCAGGAGCTGCAGGAAATCTCTGTGCTCTAAATCCACTGCCTCACGGCGCAGGTGAATGCAGCAAACCAAAACGCATCTCCTTCTCTCCAGCCCCAAGTCCTTCTACTTGATTCACTTCAGTTCCTACCTTTGTCTTTCTTCTTGAGTTTCTTGTTGCGGGTCCCTTGCCTGAGATAGGAGAGGATCTGTGTCAGCTTGCTGATGACAATGTCGTTGGTGGTCAGCGTGGTCTGTGCCTGAAAGAGAAATTCCCGAGGAAGGGGATGACTCCCTCCTCAGAGAGCCCCTCCGATTCAGCCCAACACAGTCAGGGAAACAAAACTCTTCCTGGGTACCTCCATGGTGGGGCAGTCGGCCTTGCTCCGGATCAGCGTGGTTGGGATATCCGTGTCAGCATACTCATCGTCCAGATCTACCACGTAGGCCATCCTCCCTGGCAGGAACAGCTCATTCCGCTCGTAGGCCTTGTTCTTGAACAGGATGCGGTAGATGTTGCGACCTGGAGGGGAAGGAAATGCATGGGAAAGCTGCTCTTCTGAGAGCAACGGACAAGCCCATAGCGAGGCATGTTTAGTTTATCAGAAACATCAGAATCACCTCCTAAGAGACATGCTTCCTCTGGCCCTCAAATTCAGGATGCCTACACCTCACTCTCCCCCTCCCACAACTAAAGGATTTCACTCCTCCATTCACCCTCCAGGATTTCTCCCACATTCACAGCACAACACAAGGTGTGGAACAGCCATGTCCACACAGTCTTACCCAGCCGGGTCTTAAATTCAATTTTGTTCTCAGGATCTTCATCTTTCCTGAACAGAAATAGAAAAGAAACAGAAGTGTTATGCTAAGTGTGTGCCTCCTCTGTGACCTCCTCTCTGGGAGGCAACTGCACGCAGGAGTGCAAAACCCTCAACCACTCACTTAGTTTCTTTCTGGGGCTTCTCCATCATTTCCTCCTCTTCCTTCTCCTTGCTGGCAATCTCAGCCCGTACCTGGCCACAGAGTAAATACATGCATTACAGACCAATCCGTGCCACTGCTGCCCATCAGAACCAGTAAGCCCACTTCCACCAGCTCCCCAACCCTTCATAAAGCTCTCTCAGAAAGAGAAATCCACACCGACAAGACTGAAGCACCCAGAAGTGGCAACTTCTACCCTCTGCCCACCCTCTCAGCCTGCGGGAGCAGACAGGGTAGAAGAGCAGCACAGCAATCTCTGCACTCACCTTCTGCAACAGCGCAAAGTCCAGACCCTTCACCAAGTGAGTGTGCTCCATGTCACCACCCAAGAACTTGGACTCCTGGATCAACTGTCTTCTCTTCTCCGCAGCAGATTTATCCCTATGCAACAAAAACGGAGCCAGTTACGAGACAGCCCCTCCCGAGCAGACCGGCAAGACAAGGCCGTGCCACAGGTCCACGTACGCCTCTGCCGTCGGCCCCACAGCTCTGTAGTTGGCAGTTGTGCTGATCAGCTCCGTTTCCTCATAGTCCTTGTTCACGCCATCTCTCCTCTCCTTGGCTCGATCCCTGTACTTCTCAGCCAGCTCCCTCTCACGCTCTATCTCCTGCTGGCGCAGCTTTGCATAATAGCTGGGGTTGGAAAAATAGCTCGGTGTTAGGGCAACATGTTCACGCTTTTGATGTACCAGTCAGGTAGCAGTCCCCAAGGGCCCACACACCCGTTTTGCTCCCAACCGCTTCCCCAAAAAAATGTACTGAAGCACCACGGGACACAAGATGCCTGGAGCACACCAGACAAGATGAAACTGCTGTCCCAAGGCTCTCTGAAGAGGAGTTCAGTCTTCCCTTCCAAAGGGAAAAGGCTGACTGCAGTCCTGCTACCCAGATGTGCCCCAAAAGACCGTCACTAGCACAGACGTCCCACCACTGCTCTGCTCTGCCAGACACCCACAGGGCCTCTCTCGCTTCTTCCAGAGGTGAAGCTTCACCCCCATCCTGCTGCCGCCCTCCCACGTCTGTTCCCACAAGCAGTGACAGTCACTCAGTCCGAGCTCTTCTCACTCCGCTTGGCTCCAAAGCCCCAAAATAATCCAGGCCACCCGGGGTCCTATCTGGTAGGTCAAGAGCTCAGAAGCTGCTTCCATGGGAAGGACACGATGTATGACGACAAGTCCTGATGCACTGCTTTCCTAATTTACCTTTTCTTCTTCCTTCTGCGAGCAGCTGGATCTTCATCTTCATTGTACTCCCGGGGCATCCTGTAAAAGGGCAAGAAACCACACGTACAGTTGGCAGAGCCACACAAACACGGGCAGCGAGACAGAACAGTCCCTCAGACACAGCGGGGCTCCGAGATGCTCAAAGACAGGAGAAGCACAGTCCTATTTCTCACTAAGTCCGCTCTGTCAGCGGGCAGAAGAGGGGAAAGCACTGATCTTCACAGAACAAAACCTAAATCTGCCTCCTGCATGAAGTGTCTTAACAGCTCTGTTATTTAGAAGTCGTGACCCACCTGTTTCTTCAGTTAACACACACATGCACACTCATTAGCAAAAGCCCCTTTACAGACTCCACTGCAGAGCACAGCGGGAGAGAGTCAGGCAGGAACGAAGCTCCAGAGGGAAGGCAGCCATGCTTTGTCCCACAGTCCCGAGAAACGGAGTCCTACTCACTCATGGTGGCGAGATTTGGACGGTGGCGCAGATGTTGGCGCAGCCCGCGGGGTCATCAAAAGCTTTCTGAAGTCTTCATTAGTCAGCTTGGACCTGCAAGGAAAAGAAGAAACAGAAACCGTCATCTGTCACAATTTCCACCAGCCTGACAGCTTCCAAGGTGGAGGGTTTGCCAGCATGTTCTGTGCGATGGAGTCAGCCATGGGGTTCCCACGGAG